AGATTGTGTATTAATTGGGTTTTGCATTTGCATTGGTTGTTGATTTTGTGTATCTGTTGGGTTTGGAGAAAAAATTCTATGATATGTATACGGTTTTTGTACTCCTTGTCCACGATATTCTTGAGTGTATGGTGCAAATATATCTGGTTGTAAATAATCATCATCAGAGGATAAATAATCCGTTTGATGAGATGCTTGCTTTTTATTTTTATTCTGTTGAAAGAATGGGTAATTTTCACTACGATCCTGTGGAGGATGTGAATTAGTTTGAAAATTTACTGAGTTGGTTGTTGCCATTGGGTTATCCCAATATCGAGATCTTATCTGATTATTATTATTTTTTCGTGGGGGATAGTTTGTTTTTGATGAATGTGCGTAATTATAATTGTGTTCCGCAAAAGTGTTTCTTGTGAACGTTCTGCGTGTTTTTGACGGTATTGTCATGGGTCTATATGTTTGATAATCCATTTGTGAATATTTTGGAGCAACCGAAGGTTTAACGGTTGATTGTAAGGTTACCTGTGCTTGTGAAGTGTTTGTATTTCATAGTGTTGTTAAATTTGGACGTATTGGTGAAATACTTTGTTGTGTAGTTGTTGTTGTTTGGACAATTTCTTCATTTATGAAGTGTGATGGTGTCTGAATATCTTGTTGAGTGAGGTTCCTAGTTCCATTAAGGTTTTCATTGTGTATGACGGTCGAGTTTAAGCTGTTATTTCGCGTATCGGGTAAAAATGTATTGTAGTTCAATGGTGTTGCATCAATGGTTAATGGTACTACTCTTACATAATCTCTGGTATAAGATATTGTACTTATTGCTTGACTTGCAATTGATTGTGGGATATTTATAAATGCATAATGAGACCATTCGGGGTCCCAAACGTAGTCTGACTGTTCTGTGATGGCGGTATCATCGTTTGAATTTTGAGGTCTGAAATTTTTTCTTGCTTGTGAAATTAAATCTATATTATGTGTGAAATAATCTATTATAAACCATGCCAAAATTTTTTGTAAGTCATGTTTTGTATGTTGTGAAACATCGTCTTTAGTGAAATTTTCTTTTATTATATGTAGAAAAGTTGAAAATAGTGTGATTTCATGTCGTACCTTTATATGTTTAGATGTCTCTGTCGGTGAGACACTTGGGATTTGAATTTCGTTTTCTAATATTGAGACATAACTATATATTATAGCAAAAACATCATTAGTGAATATGGAGTTTGCTCTTTGTGAGTTATGATATTGTATGCTTTTTATGTATTCTGAGAATACTTTTGAAAATTCTAAATCAAGGTCGTCTGTTTGAATTACATATTTGCGGTGATTCGGGTTTGGTGAGCTGAATTCTATGGTGTAGATTCCGTATTGTTGTGTCAAATTACATATATCTTTCAGATAGTGATCAATAATTTGTCTTTTGATCTTTACATCTGGAAACTCTGCTTTACATGGGCTGATTCCGGGTTCAAATAAATTTAGTAGGAAATTCTTGCAAAGTATATGCTGTCCTCTATCAGTGGGTGCATCTACGAGGAAGGGGAAGATATCGTCATCATCTGGACTATCTTCACTTGGAGTGTGTGTTTGGCTCATTTTTTCAATTAATGACTGTTAATAGGTAATTATCGATGTGTCTAATTGGTTGATTCCAGTTATATAAGTGTACTGGTTTGTGTTTATATTGCTTTTTTATTCGTCTTTTTCCTCTTTTTGATGAATTCGAAGTTGTTTCTGAGTCGGAAAAATATAATTGATCGTGAATGGGGCAATTTTTATCTATAGATTCTTTTAATTTATAAAGTTCGTCTAAATTGCTGGCTTCTGATTCTGAAAATGCGTTTCTATTTTTGGAAAATCTTTTTCGTGTTATTTGTCTTTGTTTGGTTATTATTTTCTTTTTTAGTGTTTGTCGTTTTGTTCTAATATATCCAACTGTTTGTGTATGAGGTGTGATTACAAGGTCGTATTTTTTGTTATCTATTTCACAGTTGTGTAAAACGATTGTTTGTTTGTTTCCTAGGTTTTGAAATGACATAAGGTTTAGGATGACGGATGCCAAAAGTTGTTAGATTATTTCTATTTTCTTAAATTGTTAGTCCTTACGATTTTTTGGTTAGCTTAACCTGGGTCTATTTGTTCAGGGTTGGAGAAAAAAGTATATCGATTCCGAAGAATGATTTTTTACTTTCTCGTGGCTAGTATAAGCTAAGGTGTTAACTTACTTAATCTTACTTAGGGGTAGTGATTGTGTTCAAGGGTTGGAGAATAGTAAATCGATCCACAAGGTTCAGGTATAATTAGAACGCGAGTAGTTCGTTAGATACTATTTTAAACTTACTAAGTCTAGGATTTATCCTGGGTCTGGTAAGAGGAGGGTTCAAGTGAAGGATGAATAACCGAAGTACTTCACTGTTTATCCTAATTTGAATGATTAGTTTTGTTCAAAAATTTCTATTAGTCTTGGGTTTTTTTGAAAGGGTTGGATAGTGAATCGACGTTTGAGGTCGTTAGACACTAGCTAAGTGGGTGGGGGAGAACAAAATTGTCCTTTTTGATCCAAGGATAGGCCTTGATGATCAAGTTTAAATTTAATTAAATAGAAAATGAATTAAGATCCAAGGATAAGCCTTGATGATCTGATTTTAAAATTATGTGAATTTAAGTTTAAAATGGTTTAAATTTATTTAAGAAAAGATTTAGTGTTTTAATGATATTAGTGAGCTTATGATTGCTGTTATGTTTTAGGTGATGAAGCTGAGACAACTGATGATTTTATGATTACTAACAGTTTATTGTCATGCTACTAATTTTTATTTTGCTTTTCAATAAATATTTTCCAAACATGTTTTATATAATACTGCAGAATTTTAGGAAAACGATCTGAGATATTTTTATCAATCGTTATTGTATTTTAATATTTTGTTTAGCGCCTGTAATGAGCATGAAGATTGGCTTCAAGATTTTATGTTTGCAAATGAAAATCTAAATTCATTGCTAATAAAATTCTAAATATAAAAGTCTGTGTTGGCTTTTGCCGTACTATCATATAACTATTTGGTAAGTTTCTATTCTGTCGTATGTCGTCTCTGGTTCGAGGTCTTCTTCCAATTCCGGGTAGTTCTCTTATCGTTCGGAATATTGGCTTTGATCTATTGAGTCGTAGAGACATTTCGATTAAATTATCGTCATGTAACATTTTAAAAATGTTTTGTCTAAATTCTAATCTATTTTTGGTTAATTCTAAGCTATTAAGGTCTTGTTCGAGACTTATGGTCGCACCAGATGAGTTAAAACCTAAGTGGTTAACTCATAGAGTAATTTCGGATAGGGTACACCGTCTGCTCGTCACGCTATCTTATTTTCGGCCGGATAGATTCGTGCAACTTCTTAGTCTAATACCGATCCTATTCTTACTCTTATACTATCTAGTCTCAGGTTGTTTAACTAGTCTCTGCTAGGCTCAATAGATCTAGGGTATACTGGTTTATTGCGGCTGCTGAAGTTCTCTCGGAGAGGCAACTAAGTTCTAAGTTAAATTCAAATCTCTCTGGTGCTGAAATTACAAGTAATTTCAGCACTTACAAATAAGTGGGTTGTTAGTTAGATGGATCATGATTGGTTAATATTAAATACTTTACAATGGTAAAATATCTAATTTATCCAATCATAAAATGTAGTTTAGATCAGGTTCCAATAAATATGCAAAGTCTGAAAATAAGTCTGCAAAGTCTGAACATAATTATGAACATAGGTCTGCAAAGTCTTAATCGATACGCATGGGGACCGGAAACTTATAGTCGCCACACAGGTCAAAATCTGCACAGTCCGGACATATGAGGGTCGAATTATGAGTCGAACATGGTCGATAGAGTCGAACTGGGTCGAATCATGAGTCGAACACGGTCGAACCATGAGTTGAACAGGGTCGAATCATGAGTCGAACAGGGTCGAATCATGAGTCGAACACGGTCGAACCATGGGTCGAACAGGGTCCAATCATGAGTCGAACAGGGTCGAATCATGAGTCGTACACGGTCGAGCCATGAGTCGAACATGGTCGAATCATGAGTCGAACAGTGTCGATAGAGTCGAACTGGGTCGAATCATGAGTCGAACACGGTCGAACCATGAGTCGAACAGGGTCGAATCATGAGTCGAACAGGGTCGAATCATGAGTCGAACACGGTCGAACCATGGGTCGAACAGGGGCCAATCATGAGTCGAACAGGGTCGAATCATGAGTCGTACACGGTCGAACCATGAAGCGAATAGGGTCGAATCATGAGTCGAACACGGTCGAACCATGAGTCGAACAGGGTCGAATCAAGAGTCGAAAAGGGTCGAATCATGAGTCGAACACTGTTGAACCATGAGTCGAACAGGGTCGAATCATGAGTCGAACAGGGTCGAATCATGGGTCGAACAGGGTCGAATCATGAGTCGAGCGAGTTCAAACTGAGTGACGTTTTAATATTAGAACTAACCTTTGATGTGGAGGTCACAGCTCAAAATGTTTTAAAATGAACCACAAACTACGAAAAATAGACAGAATAAGATTATGTTACCTCGTTGATTGCTTTGGAGTTTGTTTCTAAAAAATGATTAAACTTAATTGAGCAATTTGATTCAAAGTAAATAATTTGTTTAAAACTGATCAAAAATCAGCTTGAAAAACGGCACTGTTTTTTTTTCTTTGAGGCAGTGAAATATCTTTAAATAAGCCTGGATCAGATTTTGGAATTCACTTTTTTTTGTAGATTTTTATCAATCTTTTTTTTTATAAATTTGAATAAGCTAATAGTCAGATCGCTTGAACGTGGTTGTTTTCCATTTTGAAAGTTGAGATTTGAAAACAATCTTATCAGCAATAAAATTTGTTCAAAAATGATAAGTTATTGAAGACAATTCAAAGGCAAGCTTCGGTTGAAGCGTTTTGCAAATTCACTAGAAGCATTTTGCAAAACTCTGTTGCTAACGATTCAATATTTTCTGTTCTTGTACTTTTTGCTGGAATTTATGGAGCTTTGATATTATCAACCTAAAGAAATCAGTTTCGATTATTCAATTCAAAGACGACCATACATTTCAACTGTCAAGACGTCTAAATAACTAAAAGACAGGAGTTATTCGTATGGTATCTCACTGTTTTGAATATCTTCACTGTCTTAAACTCTGATTGATTTTCAGTTTCTTCACGATTTGTTGTTCAGTGCAATGACATTGTCACAGTTATCCAATTTTGAAATCGAGGCACATTTGCAAAGAAGCTTCCGCCGTTGCAAAATTGACCTGGCGTGTCGTTGCGATCTCTTGCATAACTAGCCACGCCATATATACATTGGGGAACAAAATTGCCACATTCAAACACGTAAAGAGGACTGCCGTCGTCAAAGTGACAAATGTTGGCTCCTTTTGGCTCTTTTTTATTCTAATTTGGTAATAATAGCAGGAATTACTCGCAAACAACAGAAAAATTGTTTTGAGGTCAATTAAGAAAACCATTATAAAAACTTGAGTCATCACACGTCAGATCATTTAAGGAAAGAGCGTATAATTTCAACGATTACCCACGTCGCCAGCTTCTACCGAACCATGTATAGATCAAATTAAAACGATACACTTAATTCAACCAGAGAAAAAAGTACATCTTAAGATTTAACGTCTTTGAAAAATCTCCAATAAAAAAAGTAAATCCTTGTTGAACAAAAATAAACAGAAGCGACTGAACTACAAAAAAATTCCGGAAAAGGTTGCATTCAATTTATTTGTCAAAATGAATCAATTCTGAGTCAAAAGTGGCTCTCTTTTCCGTCCCCCCTTATTTTTCTGGAGTTTTTGTCGCTAATTTTTTTTTGAAATTACCTATTTTACTGCGAAAAATAAACGTGTCAGCGTGAACAAGTGAACAACTTTTTACAACATTTCTTTCAAATAAAATTACTTACGAACATTTAAAAAAATTAGTCGTCGTTTTACGAGGAGGTGGGAAACTGGAAAACGGTCTCAGAACCTGTGTCTTTTTTGTCGCTGTCTGGTAGGTAAGAAAAACGAGCCAAGCCTGGAGTTACGCTTTCAACACAAACTTTATCGCCACGACACATTCGAAGTTCAACTGGCTGAGTATTGGATTCGAAATTATTTTCGTGAAAAAACGTTTCTTGAAGCTTATATGGCAGGTCGTAGTGAGTCGTGGAAATAGTCCCCTTGCCACAAAATCCCAGAAGTCGGGGAAAAGCCTCAAAAGGAGGAAGGAAATTGCGACATATTGGCAACACACGCTCTCTGTTTTCTATTTCAGTTGTTAGTTTCAAAAGTGCGATGTCGTTTTTGTATTCAAGTTGCATTCGAAACCTGGAACAAAAATCGAAATAAAACTTAAGTGGGATCAATTGAGCAATCTCCCCCTCCCCCCATTTTCGTACGGGGGATAGCTCAATAGGTCATTACGGGGGGGGGGGGGGGGGTTGCTGAAATGAGTGGTCCTTAAGTGGTCTAGAATTTTTTTAAACCAATTTTAAAAAATTAAATGCACTGAATAAGCAAATTTCGACGTTTGGTTAAATTTACAAAGTTGATACACTAAAAAAATGTATTCTCTGAGTATAAATAGAGCTCATTTGTGCCTTTTATATTTTGTAATGAGAGCCGATAGATTAAATTTTTTGGGGTTCAAATACAAAACTCAATTGTTTGTTGCCAATTTTGAGCTAAACCAATTACACAAGTAAAGAAAAAATACCCGTGTGGAATGAATTTTCGCGACACCTGGTAGTATTCGCTGTAGCCTGAATCTGGCACATATTGACGAACTTCAACTGAAATATCGTTAACTGAAACAACAATCAAATTAATAACAAAAAAATGTTATATATTTCAGCTGTTAGTAAATTGATACCATGATTAAATTATGAGACCAAAAATAAGCGAACCAGATCAGTAAATCAGAAACACATGTACTTTTCACAAAGAAAAACTTAGAGAAAAACTGAATGAAGTTACTCAACTCATGGTTCCAATAATTTTTAAAATAATCATTCGGCTCAAGAAATTTGGGTTCTCATAATCTAAACTTAATTGTATTTTAGCTCCAGAAAGTTGGGTTCTCAAAATCTTCACTTATTTGAAATTACTGATTTGGGTAACAGCTGTTACTTAAGGAAACTGAACCCGCCCGTCCCGCTTCAACGTGGTGATGCGAAAGCTAGTTTAGAATGAATTTTAATCAGCCTGCTAAAAACGTAGCATCTCAAATACAGTTTTTACCCATTGCTGATTCGTGTATAAATTAAGCTTGTGGTTTCTTGAAGAAAACCAGTTTAAACAAGACTCAATTCTCATTGTTTAATAACAAATAAGAATGTAAATAATATAGATAATGTAAGTGATATAGATAATGTCATGACAGAATTCTAGAGTTCAACTTAAATCTTTCATAAAAGAGACGGAGTGAGTGATAGCACTTGATGATGAATAGAGAATGGATTGACAGGTCGGTAGCGACCTTGATAGCCAATAGGCAAGCTTAGCACGAATAACTAGCACAGAAAGTAATACAATAATGACGTCATAACAAAACTGTTAAACTACGCCACACCACATTTCCCCCTCTAGGGAAAAAATTCAAATGAACATTTGAATTTCTTTAAATTAAAATGACTAAACATGCCCTCACTGCCGTTTAACAAAACTTCTTGTAACCTATGAAACACTAATAGAAGTTGACAAAATTGACTGATATAACTTGAGGAAATATACTGAAAATGATTTGAAATATCGACGAGTTTGAATGACCGAAGAGTTTTATTTGTCTGAACGACGCAAAGGATGATCGGAAGAGCGCTTTTTTGGAAAACGCGTAAATTTTGTACATAAACCTTCGGATTCATCGGGTAGAACAACCCGAGACTGCCCCGCTTGAACCACTAGCTCTGGGTTAGCCACGATAAAACGAACTTTCTTGTCCGGCGAAACAGGAGTTGACGGGGAGGTAGAAGTCGAAGTAGCATGAATGACATTCACGGAATGTCTGATTGGACTGCCGTAAAAGGTTGTCTGCTTTTTCCGACGCGAGGAAGTTCGAGAAGAGTTCGATGATGACGAAATATTTCCGTCCGGTTTTACGCCAGAACCATCCCGGGTGGGGAGACCCGATGCAGCCAAACTTGACGACGTGCACTCTTGTAGCTTCGGAACCAATGACTCATCGTCCGAAGAAATAGGAATGAGATCTGGACATAATGGAGTTTTGACTGTAGTTGGTGATTTCGGTTTGACACTGATGGGAACCTCCGTTCAAAGGTTTCCAGAAGTGGACGAAGAAGCCGTTAAATCTACTACTGGAGTAGAGTGTTGGGGATAAGGAATAGCCTGAACTCCTGGAGCCTCCGATATTGAAGTTTGATTTGAATTAGTCGAGACAATTCGATCACAAGAGGGAGTAGATGATGTCACCAGAGACGGGAATTTCGGGCGAGCATGTACGGCCACAGTTTTGGCCGAGGTTTGTTGGCGGGAACTAGATTGTTTTAAAGACCGATTGTCCTCTGACGATGAAGGCGAAGATGACACAATGGGGCGTTTTTGCCCCTTCTTGACAGGCGTTGTTTGCTTGCCTGAAAAACTTAGATCCGTTGATTTAAGACGTACCGCCAGGTGATTTCTTCTAATCACTTTTCCCTTGTCAGAAATATATGTGGACCCAGTAATCTGCAAAATTTTGCACTTAAAAAATTTGAAAAGTTCTCGACCAGACTTCCTATTTAGAAATTTCCTAAATATTTCGACCTTATTTGGCTCATTCAACACTAAGTAATCAAATTACGTTTTGTTAATGACGAACGAATTCGATCCGTTGTCATCTGGTTCCTAAACCTAAGTGTCCCAGCAGACAAGTTGGAGCGAAGGGTGGCTGCGAGAACTTGGTTTCGTTCCGTCAGCGCCTTCAGAACTTTGACCCCCTTCTGATGCGTCAAGGACTTCTTCAAAACCAGCCACTGATTAGCGGATTGAGCCAGACTCTCAAGCGCGCGATAGTGAGGTGTGTCCGCAACTGACTCCGTCGGTCCCCCAAAGTAGGGTGACACCGTCGGGCTTGAATGCCCCTTCTTGACTAATTTTATTCTTGGTCGGCTGTCGCACTGCTCCCGACGCTGTTCAGGTGTTCGTAGATCCCGTTCCAACTGTTGGTTATCTAAATTAACGCCCGTAGACAAACGCTCAGCCGCAACAGATAGCTCCGTATTCGAAGGACGGCCAAAATGAAGCTCAAAAGGTGAAACACCAGTAACAGATTATTTTGTAATCCGAATATCTTCAATAATATTTCTAAGGGTATCTTGAACATTTGAAAAATCCGAGCTCAAACGCGAAGCACCCAAACGACGCTTAATAGTTTGGATCGACCGTTCCACTAGACCACAACCACAATGATCCCCCACCGGGTAGAAATATTGGGCAATATTTTTATCTTTACAAAAAGCCTGCACTAATTTATTCTTAAAACCTGAATATTGGTCAGTTTTGATAGATTTAGGAATACTATGCTGTTGAATATACGATTTAAGAAATTTAATAATCTTCCGTCCCCCGTAGAACGTGTAATTATAGCCGACAGATATTTAGAGTAACGGTCAATTGCGACCAAGATATAAATACTGTTACCACTCGAATCGAAAAGAGGACCCTCATAATCAAGCTGAAGCTCTTCATTAGGACCAGACAAAAGGGGTAAAGGCTTGGTAGAGTTAAATGAAGCGTTCGCTTTCAAATTCTTACCAAACTTCGTGCACTGGGGACAATCTTTACATAGCTGGACAATATCTCGATGCATTCGAGGCCACCATATGTATTGCGCGCCATCAACCATGGCTAACTGACCCGCATGCGACCTATGTAGTCGAAACAGTAACGGTCTCCTAAGACACATGGGAATAGCGATCCTATTGTCCACGACAACACAGCCATCAACCACCGCTGCAACATGCCAAAAAGATTTTGTATATGGGTCAATACGACAAAATCCTTCATATTCCCGGTTAATAAGTGCCCGTTTCATCAAGCATAGACGGGAACCTTCTTCCGTAAGTTCCGACAGTACATCGGAATCCAGAATGCCCACCAAACCGGAGCGACCACCGATGACTTCAAAATTTCTAAACTTTCAACTGACTGAGTTTGACGATTCACTAATTTGGTTTCCCTGAGCCTTTTGATCTGAAATTGGCCAGTATTCGGGCATATTGACCCCTCAACTCCGCACCACGTTGTAAAGTTGTCGACCTCTTTGGACGCACTGTCCCCGCGCGAAACCGCGGCCGGGCACGATCCGACGAAAAACAATGTTGGTTGATCGGGAGAAACTGGTTGAGTAGTTGCTCAAAGCTGTCGTTCGCATTATTAGCGTTAAGATCCATCACAGTCTGAAAATGAAAAGCGCCTAATAATACGAGTACACACCAACAACTCCAATAAACTGAAGCAAGGTCAAAAAGACTCACCGACGATGATAATAACACGCAATTACTAACGACTGTACTGATAATCCACACTGAAATCAAAATTGGCAGATAATTTGTAATCCATGCTGAGAAAGTGAAAACCGATTTTATGCATTGCGCTGTAGCTGGAATGTCCTGAATTGTGACGCCCTCTACCGCGAAACTTCCAATATCATCATGAAATACCCCGAACGGAACAATTGGCCGGAGGCTGACCAAAATCCAATGACTCAATTAGATTTATCGAAATAGATAAAACGAAATTTTGGCTGTTTTTCGGAATAACGGGTGATACCTCTGATAAAGAACAACCCCTAGCCCATTCATCCAGATAATCGCACGCATCAAAGAATCGACTAATACACTTGACCACATATTGTTCATCAAAACTGCTTGGTCGTGGCGCTTCAAACGTTGGAAAACGAGATAAATAAACCACTATACCCAATTTACATACGGAAATGTGGAAAATATCGAAATCAAATGGCAATAATCCATCAGCCCATCTGGTTAATCAATATTGATGAGTTTTATTACCTCTTTTGGTTTTTAACGCCAAGATAATTGCTTTATGGTCCGTTAGAACCACAAAATGATTACCCAACAAGTAATTTCGAAAGTGCTCACATGACCACACAATTGCTAGAAGTTCCAACTCATTAGTGATATACTTCTTTTCCTGGTCATTGAGAAAACGTGACGCAAATGCAATAGGAACCCAAACATCCTTTTCTATCTCCTGTTCTAACGCAGCACCCAAACCACTATGACTAGCGTCACACTTTACTCGCGAATTCCGACTTTGGTCATAATGATACATCTTTGTGATATTCGCTATCAATTGCAAAAGATTCCTGAAGGCAGTTTGTTGGCACTCCCCCCACACAAACTTGCTTTTATTACTTGCTTTCAAGGAAGGGCGTAACTGATCCGAATAGACCTGGAGGTTCGGCAAAAATTGTTGTAAATGGTTGAGTATGCCCATGAAAGAACGAAGTTGCTTGAGCGACTTGGGAGGCTCCAGAGCTAACACTGCATCGATTTTAGAACAATTCGGCCTTTAGCCTTCTGAATCAATGTCGTAACCCAACCAAGATAATTGATTCAACGAGAAATCACATTTCGACAGTTTCAGAGCGAAACATTTTTCATCCAAACGAGTTATCACTTTGTCTACAAAAATATTGTGATCCATGATTGATCCTTTCGAAACTATCAAAATATCGTCCAAGAAACAGAAAACTCCCGATAAACCCTGGAGTGTATTGTCCATTGCTTTTTGGAATTCTTTTGGCATGTCCGTTAACCCATAAAACTCAGTTTTAAATCGATACGTGCCAGTTTGTTCTCCACAGACGATATTAAAGTTGCAATGACGACTAACTTCATCACTGAGTGGAATCTGACTGAATGCATATTTCAAGTCTAGGGACGTAAACCAAATATCACCTATTTTATCCGATGTGATTATCTGGGCTACCGAGTCCAACAGTTCCAACAAATTCGGCATCTGATATTGGTTCTTATGAATCTGATCATTCATGGGTTTTGCATCCATAGCCAATTTCACGGAACCATCCTTCTTAGCCGTAATTACAATCGGAGAAATAAAATGTTCGCTTGTACACTTATTAAGTTTGACCACGTGGCCTTCTTGAATTAACATCTGAATTTCCTGGCCAGCTTTATCTTGTATATGCACTGGAACCCGCCTTCCTTTCTCCTGAATCGGAACAAGTGGAGACTTGAATGTAGAGAATACTTTATAATTTTTAGCTCTACCTCCTCTGGAGAATACACGATGAAACTTCTGATGGAAATGTGTTTTCCAAGACTCAGACGTCACATTCAGGTTTGATAGGGACACTTCACCCACCAAAGACCGTTCTGGTCTAACTTGCGTTGTTCTCACCCCCAATTGGGGCTGCAAGTCCAAACCTAATAAACATCGTGTGCGATTTTCCGAAATGAGGAATTTTGCAGACTTGACATGCCAGCCCAAAGATGACACATCCAGAATCATTGTACCCATCAGATCAATTCTTTTCATATTGTAATCAACATATACCGTGTCGATTGGGCGTTCCTGAATACTAAAAACTTTGGCTGATGGAACAGTTTTCACGATATAGTCTGCTGTTTTCTTGTTCACGAAAGAAGCAGGGCTTCCAGTATCCACCGTTGCTTTGGAGAACGTCTTCCCACAACGCAGTGTTATCTGAATGGAACGTAACTTGCCCGTAGCAGCATTGACCACCTCCAACTTCTTCACTGACGCAATGGGACGGCTTGGTTCTTCTGCCGCCACTGACAAAACAGCAAATTCCGACTCACTATCGGATGTGATGAAATTACAATTCTCTTCCACCGTCTCATCTGACTCAGCTTCCACATTCGCTACGTTTTTGGAATTACAGCACTTTGCGACGTGACCCTTCTTGCTACAATTCCTACAAGTCAGATTTCTAGCTGGACAGTTTGCTTGTGATTTGCTGAAAACCTGTTACCACAAAAATAACATAATTTCGCTTTCTCATTGGTCCCTTTTGACTTATTATTCTGAGCCCGACTGGTTCTATCAGACAGTTTCTTCCCTTGGACAGAGAAGGTGGGTTCCTGTTTTATGCGAATGATCTGCCCCGAAGTGACTCTTGACTGGGAAAAAGTCAGTGGCAGTTTTGCAAGTCAGCTTTTGCAAGTCAGTGGCAGTTTGCGCCCCTTTTTCCTGCAGTAACGCTGATTTCAGCGTCTCTTCTGGAGTGGTACCTGAGCGAATACACAATTCTCTCTGAATATCTTTATATCTCATCTTGGTAATGAAAATATCTCTTACGACTTCTTTTTCCTGATCAATTGTCCAACCACACAGGGCGACTTGCCCCTTCAATCGCAGATAAAATGCTTCCAAACCTTCTCGATCTGAATGTACGGCATTGTAGATTTGCAGACGTTCGATAATGTAATTGTTCTCCTTCTTGAAAATGAGTACACAGAATTCGTGAAATTCCTGAAATGATATTGCACTGAGATCCGCATGTTGATAACTTTGGAGGAACCTTTTCCTCCCTTCTGAGCCAAGCGAAAAGAATAAACGAGATTTAATTCGTTGTTCAACTTCGTAGTAGAACACTCCTGGTGCTACTCTGGGACATTTCCGCCACTCTACGTAAGGCTGCATCGTTTCGTGCAATACGATTCGCAATTGCTGCCGCATCCTCATCCACTCCCACAGCTTCTGTTTTTGGAACAGGATCATCGTGTACCACACCCGGAGGTTTCAATAGTTCACGTGGATCACACCTTTCTCTCAGGGTGATTGCTAAGTTGAATTGGCCTATCCAAGAATCCCAGCTGCTGGGTGGATCCGCTGTTGGTTTATGCCAGAATACGGGTACACCTAAACGGTCAGTCCGATGCTCCGAGATCGAAACTGCTGGCTGCGCCATGTGGTTTCTTAAAGAATACCAGTTTAAACAAGACTCAATTCTCCTTGTTTAATAATAAATAAGAATGTAAATAATATAGATAATGTAAGTGATATAGATAATGTCATGACAGAATTCTAGAGTTCAACTTAAATCTTTCATAAATTGAGACGGAGTGAGTGATAGCACTTGATGATGAATAGAGAATGGATTGACAGGTCGGTAGCGACCTTGATAGCCAATAGGCAAGCTTAGCACGAATAACTAGCACAGAAAGTAATACAATAATGACGTCATAACAATACTGTTAAACTACGCCACACCACAAAGCTACAAAAACTGTAAAATTGAAAAAAAAAATGATTTAAATAAGATGAAAACTTATTTTAATATGAAAACAATATTCACAGTGGATGTTGAGTATTCAACTAAAACCTTTATTTGAGAAATTTTTAAAAATGCTTAGAGCGTTTCACCTAAATTTGATTTTCAATTTTACCTGTTTGCGTTTCTTCTGTTTTTGACAGCATATTAAAGCGAAAACGTTTGTCAGTTTTTCAACAGGTGTTTTTTCTACAGCGTTCACAATTCTTTTTGCTCTATGGTTTTTATCATAAACAATTTATGCGCCTTGTTGTTTTTAATTGCACCATTTTTTTATTGTAGAAATTAAATTTCGAAACGTCTTTTTGATATTATATATTGGTAGAAAAAAAAAGAACTTGGAAAAAGTGAACGATATGGTGGGAGAAGACCTAAGACATGCATTTTCGAGCGTTTCAGGCACTGAAACGCACAAAAATCTGAGCCAAATTAGTTTAGGTAGAAAAATGGTCATTTAGAGATTTTAAATGGTCATTTAGCTCTTAGTCAACAATTTTAGAATCGAATACAAATTAATGAATCATATTAGCTCTAGTTATGATACATTCAATCATTTTTGGAAAAAATTTGCGGAAATAAACTTTTAAACTACCCATTGTCGACAGCGGATCTTTTTTTTACAAATCATACCGTCTTTTTTTTCGGAAAAATTTTATTTCTGTAGAGTTTTTGGCAAAACTAATTTTTTGCGACGCTCCTGTCACAATTGTAGCCAACATTTTTTGAAACTTTCGTAGTGGTATTTGAGTTTTACATGCGTCGGATTTCTTATTCCAAATCGAAAAAGGCGAGAAAAGTAAATTTAAGAAAAATTTCTTAAAGTTTACCGCTGAAAAATTGTTTTTTTTTGAAATTTTTCTCACAAATACTTGTTTGTTTGCTGCACTTGTATCAATCATGCAGAACTACTGTTATACGTTGATATTTCTACAAGCAAATTTTGGCTTCATGGAAAAAATTACAGCGCAAAATTATTGAAATTTTTTAATGTTGATTTAAAAACTCATATAAAAAAGTTAGACGCTCATTCAAAAGTAATCCGTAAATAGTTATCTCCCAAAAAAGATGAATATATACGTGAAAATTTTTCTCGAAAGCAGAACAAATAAAACGGCCAAAAAACTGAAAACAAAATTTATGACAGCTGGACCATAATCAAAGGAGTTTTAAAAGTTCTGTCTCGTCATTGTTCATATTTCAGAAATGGAATAGTTCAAGTCATGTTTTGGAAGAATTTAAGTCCCGTTACGTTATTTTGAGAACTTCTGCTGAATTATATCAATAAGTAAAAATATAACTAATGGTTTTTTTTCTGTTAGGCGGCCGCAAATTGACAAAACCGAAAGATGAGCTTACATTTAAAGGTAGATTTCAGTTTTATGTAAAAAGAGAAAAACTTCATATATTGAGCTTCAAGCAATATGATTGAAATTTAAAATGAAAATGATGAACTCGGGTCTTATAGATCTTAGGTCAAATGATTGGTAATATTTTTTTTCTCAAAAAATCTGAGCACAATTAGGTAGAAAAAGGCTCATTTACAGATTTTTTTTTTCATATGAACTTCAAAAAACTGTGAACTTCATATGCGCTTCATGAACTGCGTCAAGAAATCGAACGAACAAAATTTGCATAGTTTTCACCTATTAAATTTCTGAAGGTCACAAATTATATGAACATAGTTTTGGCACTCACTATACAAAAGTCAGCAACTTACTTCGAGCTGCATACACACAATGAGCGGCAGTAATCAACCAAAACGGGTCAATAATTGCAGCGCCGCAGTATCGTGCTCTCCGTCTAAAAGACAGCAAAGCGAAGAATGGTCTTTCAACTGGCACGCTGAAACCATTGATTAATAAGGATTGATGTTTTTTCATATTCATTTCCAGTGGTGAGTTTGCTGTTCCGTTGATTTCTCGAAACTTCATTGATAAAGTATTGATGAGAAAAATTGATAACAAAATTAGCAACCGCAAGGAATTCGTATTCCTAATCATCGTGAACTTTTTATAATTCAAGTTGTTATAACTGGGAAAAATTGTTATAAGATCAATTAAACTGGTAAAGTGCCCTAGCAAATAGAGATTTAATGATGTTAAATAACTTGCCCAACATTTGTTTGTTAATTAATGTAATTTTATAAACATGAACCCAATTGTAAGTAAATGTCGGTGGTAGGTCAGTAAATCGATGTATCAGTAAATCGAAAACTAATGATTCAATTAGGTAATCACATTAACTAAAAACAGGATTTTTACAAAACGGCAAATGGCATAGAGTTATGTTTGTGATTTAGAAGTTTAAAAAATTCAAGTTGGTCGAGCGGAAATAATTGACTAAAAAATTGCGCTTTTTGGCGCGTGCTCCTCTCTCAAATTTATATTTAAGTAGCTTAAACATTTTTGAGTTTGGCCAGCCAAAAATGGATGTAAAATTATATCAAAGCCCGTCCCCCTCGGCACGTCCCCCTTATATCGGCTTACAAGCTTCAACTGATATTGACAGTTTCTTGCTGAAAGTACTTGGATAAAATAATTTTTGTTTTAAATTGGATATATTCACTGTTATAGTAATGAATTGAATACAATTAAGTAAATCAATTTCCAGTTTATTTCAACTTTCACTCTTATTAATTGCGTGACGCAATTACGTAGAGTGAAAATTGAAATAAACTGGAAGTTGATTTTTTAATTGTAGTCAATTCATTAATATAACAGTAAATACATGCTATTTAAACTAAAATTAAATTATCCATGTACTTTCAGCAAAAAACTATTAATATCAATGAAGCTTATAAGCAGAGTACATCTAGAGTTTTGTAAAGTATGATCTAAACTACATTTTATGATTGGATAAATTAAATGTTTTACCAATGTAAAGTATTTAATATTAACCAATCATGATCCATCTAACTAACAACCCACTTATTTGTAAGTGCTGAAGTTACTTGTAATTTCAGCACCAGAGAGATTTGAATTTAACTTAGAAATTAGTTGGACTCTCCCGAGCACTTCAGCAACCGCAATAAACCAGTATACCCTAGATCTATTGAGCCTAGCAGAGACTAGTTAAACAACCTGAGACTAGATAGTATAAGAGTAAGATTAGGATCGGTATTAGACTAAGAAGTTGCACGAATCTATCCGGCCGAAAATAAGATAGCGTGACGAGCAGACGGTGTACCCTATCCGAAATTACTCTATGAGTTACACTTCGGTCCTAACTCATCTGGTGCGACCATAAGTCTCGAACAAGACCTTACTAGATTAGAATTAACCAAAAATAGATTAGAAATTAGACAAAAACATTTACAAAATGTTATACGACAATAATTTAATTGAAATGTCTCTCCGACTCAATAGATCAGAGCCAATATTCCGAACCATAATAGAACTACCCGGAATTGGAAGAAGACATCGAACCAAAGACGACATACGACAAAGTAGAAACTTGCCGTATAGTTATATGATAGTTCGGCAAAAGCCAGAACAAACTTTTATATTTCGAATACTACTTGCAATGAATTTAGATTTCCATTTGCAAACATAAAACCTTGAAGTTAATCTTCAAAATCATTTCAGGCGCTAAACAAAATTAATATTATACAATAACGATTGATAAAAAGATCTAAGATCGTTTTCCTAAAAAACTCTGCAGTATTATACAAAACATGTTTGAAAAATATTTATTGGAAAATAAAAATAAAAATTAGTAGCATGACAATAAATGGTTAGTAATCATAAATCATCTTGTTGTTCCAGCTCCATCACCTAAAACATAACAGCAATCATCAACTCACTAACATCATAAAACACTAAATCTTTCCTTTACACACATTTAAAATTTTATAAGAACTTAAATTCACTTAATTTTAAAACCAGATCATCAAGGCTTATCCTTGGATCTTAAATCATTTTCTACTTAATTAAATTTTAAACTTGATCATCAAGGCTTATCCTTGGATCAAACAGAAGAACTTTGTTCTCCCCCACCCACTTAATTAGCGTCTAACGACCTCAAACGTCGATTCACTATCCAACCCTCTCTAAAAACCCAGGACTAATAGAAATTTTTACACAAAACTAATCATTCAAATTAGGATAAACAGTGAAGAACTTCGGTTATTCATCCTTCACTTGACCCCCCCTCTTACCAGACCCAGGATAAATCTTAGACTTAGTAAGTTTAAAATAGTATCTAACGAACTACTCGCGTTCTAATTATACCTGAACCTTGTGGATCGATTTACTATTCTCCAACCCTTGAACACAATCACTACCCCTAAGTAAGATTAAGTAAGTTAACACCTTAGCTTATACTAGTCACGAGAAAGTAAAAATCATTCTTCGGAATCGATATACTTTTCTCTCCAACCCTGAACAAATAGACCCAGGTTAAGCTAACCAAAAAATCGTAAGAACTAACAGTTTAGGAAAATAGAAATCATTTAACAACCTTTTGCATCCGTCATCCTAAACCTTATGTCATTTAAAAACTTAGGAAATAAACAAACAATCATTTTACACAATTGTGAAATAGATAACAAAAAATACGACCTTGTAATCACACCTCATACACAAACAGTTGGATACATTCGAACAAAACGACAAACACTAAAGAGAAAAATAATAACTAAACAAAGACAAATAACACGAAAAAGATTTTCAAAAAATCGAAACGCATTTTCAGAATCAGAAACCAACAGTTTAGACGAACTTTACAAACTAAAAGAATCAATAGATAAAAATTACCCACTTCACGATCAATTATATTTTTCTGACTCAGAAACAACTTCAAATTCATCACAAAGAGGAAAAAGAAGAATAAAAAAACAGTACAAACACAAACCAGTACATTTATACAATTGGAATCAACCAATTCGACACATTAATAATTACATATTAACAGTCATCGAACGGAAAAATGAGTTCAACGCACACCCCAGGTGACGAAACTCCAGATGATGATGAAATCTTTCCTTTTATAGTAGACGCAGATACTGATAGAGGACAACACATATTTTGTCAAAATTTACTCGTAAATTTATTTGAACCCGGAATCAGTCCATGTAAAACAGAGTTCCCCGATGTAAAAATCAAAAGACAAATCATAGATCACTATCTAAAAGATATATGCAACATAACACAGCAGTATGGAATCTACTCTATAGAATTCACTTCCCCAAACCATAATAATAGAACATATACTATTCAAACAGACGATCTTGATTTAGAATTTTCAAAAGTTTTTTCAGAATATATAAAAAGCATCCAATACCATAACTCACAAAGAGCAAACTCCATTTTCACCAATGAAGTTTTCGCAGTAATATATAGTTATATTTCGATATTAGAAAATGAACTCCCATTAACAAATGTTTCACCGACAGAAACATCCAAACATTTGAAAGTACGACATGAAATCACACTACTCTCTAGTTATTTAAACATCATTAAAGAAAATTTCACGAAAGACGACGTTTCACAACATACCACACACGATTTACAAAAAATTTTGGCATGGTTCATAATAGATTATTTCACACACAATATTGATTTAATTGCACAAGCAAGAAAAAATTTTAGACCCCAAAATTCGAACGATGATACCGCTATCACAGAACAATCAGATTATGTTTGGGACCCCGAATGGTCTCATCCCGCATTTATAAGCTTTCCACAATCAATCTCAAGTCAAGCAATATGTACAATATCTTACATAAGAGATTACGTAAGAGTAATACCATTAACAATTGATGCAACACCATTAAACTATAATACATTTTTACCCAATACACAAAATAATAGTTTAAACTCTACAGTCATACACAACGAAAACCTCAATGGAACTAGGAATCTTACTCAACAAGATATCCAGACACCATCACACTTCATAAATGAAGAAATTGTACACACAACAACTACACAACAAAGTATTTCACCAATACGCCCAAATTTAACAACACCAAGAAATACAAATCCTTCACAAACACAGGTAACCTTACAATCAACCGTTAAACCTTCGGTTGCTCCAAAATATTCACATATGGATTACCAAACATATAGACCCATGACAATACCATCAAAAACACGCAAAACATTCACTAGAAACAACTTTGCAGACCATAATTATAATTATACACATCCATCAAAAACAAATTATCAACCACAAAGGAATTTTAACCAATATACAAAACCTCGAAACTGGGATAACCCAACAGCCCAATATAATTCCAAAAATTTTCAACCAAATCCTCCACAGGATCGCAGTGAAAATTACCCATTTTTTCAACAAAATAAAAATAAAAAACAAACATCTTATCAAATGGATTATTTATCCTCAGATGATGACTTCTTACAACCAGATATATTTGCACCAAATACTCAAGAATATCGTAGACAAGAAATACAAAAAACACGTACAAATCATAGAAATTTTTCTCCACAATCAATAGATGCACAACATCAACAACCAATTCAACAACAAAATCCAATTAATATACAATCTTTTCAACCAATTCAACAACAAAATCCAATGACTGCACACTCGTATCAACCATCACAAATGCAAAATGAAATACCACTCCCATATTATCTCCAACAACATGAAATAACAAGAAACCAACTTTCAAATTTTTCTCAAATGCCAAATGCAGCAGAATCATTACAAATGACAATGAATCCATACCTTATGGGTGGATCATCGATAACATCAAATAAACCTTTAATGGTCTTCACAGGAACAGACCCTGAATACTCTGTAGAAGATTACTTAAATGCAGTAACAGCAAATTTGATTTTAAACATAGGACCTGAACCAATTAACACGCCACTACATCAAAACTGGATACATCGACGCACAGCGTTGATACAAACAACCTTAGATGGCGCAGCCCAAAAATGGTTTTCAGTACTACCTCTAGAAATAAAATCAAACTGGAAAAGATTTACACAAGAATTTTCAAAAATGTTTGACTCCGAAAGAAACAAACAACAACAAAGAGTTTTATGTAATGAAATTCGTAGATTACCAAACGAAACCATCAAGCAAATAGCAGTACGAATCGAAACACTAGTTCGAAAAGCATACTCACTAAATACACATGACTATAAAAACACAAAGATGACAGAAATCTTAATGATGACCTTAACACCACAATTAAGGAAAATAGCAA